TTATATATCGGTTTATTTCGATTCTGTACCGTAGAGTTCGAAATATACTTATTTACGGGCATTAGCTTTAGAAGTTAAAGTTTTAGTGGATGGAACAGTTTTCTTTTTTAAATAATTTTAGTTTAATTTTTTAATTAAATACAATTTTTAATTAAATTATTAAAATTTTAATCATGACAAAAAACTAATTTGTTATACAAATACATAAGAAATCTTCACTCGGGACTGAATTGAAAACCAAAAATCCGAATATTTTTGCCGTTGTGAAAATCGGAATCGGACCGATATATTGCTATATATCGGACCGATATATAACTAATCTGGAACGAAAAAATTATCGGTTTCGAAGATTTGATTTAAACAATTAAAAATAATTATAAGCAAAATTATAATTATTAGTAGGATCGAAAATTTTTAAAGAAGAAAGGAATAGATATTTTAACATAAAACTGTCTAATACTTAATTGTTATAATTAATGAATTAAACAAATTCTGAAAGTAAAACTTTAAAGAGAAATTTCTGTGAGAGAAATAGGGAACTCTATGAAAATCAATAATACTGCATAGGTGAAGATAATTATAATTTCTGTTAACTAATTATTTGAATTTAAATTAAAAATATTGAAAATTAAATGATATATAATTAAATAAATTTAATTAAAATTTATTAATAAAAACAAATCTCAATATAACCAAATTTGGTAATCTGCCAGTTTTAAAATAAATAGTAATAAATTATCAAAAAAAACTATTTGAAATATCAAGAAATTATAAATTTAATATTAATTAAAAAATTAAAATTACTTATTATATTCTTTAAATAAAAAAGGGTAATAAAGCGATGTTTGTCAAGATAAACTAAATACTGGGATATTAATTTTTTTCGTTTGTAATGAAGATGTTCAACTAAACTTTGGTATAATATGTACCAATATGTTTAGATCAGAGAATATTTAAAATGTTTTATATATCGGTTCCAATTTTGATACATAGTAGTGATATAAACTCTTGAATCAGACATGCTTTATTCAAAAAGTTTTTTATTTTCTAATGTATATACGCACTTATATATGGAATTTAAGCATTTATAAAATGCAAAGATTATGTACTATTAAAAGTGAATTAAGTCCTCACACCGAAATGGTACAATTTGTAATTTCTTATTCAATGATATAATGAAATAAACATTCGGATTAAAAACTTCTTCAACTTTAATAGCTAACGAAATATAAGCGTAAACAAAAATAAAATTTATTGCTGTTCATATAAGTATTTTTATAAATTATATTATATATATTATCATATAAACTTTGATTCAAAATTCTCTGTAAAGGGTATCTAAGCTTCGACAAAACCAAAGCTAATCTTTCTTGTTTTTTATATTTATTTTAAAATCAAGTTAAAACTGGAAATATAATATAATATAATAAGAATATTAAGAAAACAAATTAAGAAATTCCAAAAATGACAAATGCTTAATAATGACTTATTAATAAGTATTCATAAATATGCGAAAAATGCTGTTTTTAATAATAAAAAATGAGTTTAAACACCTTTTTTTATAAACCTTTTGAATAAAAATAAGAGATTTATCATATACTCTACATATTATTAATTTTGACGTTTATACTTATATTTCTCGCCAAAGTCCTAGAAGGATATTTAAATTTTTAAAATATTTGAGTTATACTTGTTGTTGTATATATATTAGATTTAGTATATAGATTATAGTGTATAGATTTAGTGTAAAAAAAAATATCAACTAATACAACAATATTTATATAAGATCTTGTACTGTAACCTTATAGATCTATTGTGCCTCCTTAATGGTTTCAGAGTGTTTTTCTTACTCTAATTGTCTTAATAAATAGTGTATCGAACCTATTTTTTAGATTTTTCTTAATCCAGCTAATATTAGATGGTCAGTTAAGTACTTGTTTGATATGTGTATCAGTGCAAGGTATGGTTTCGCGATCTTTTTCTCTTCTTTGAAGAAAAGACTGACATCTGTTTATCGCATAAATTTTCGCTTGAGTAATTGTTTTATGTTTGACCACTGCTTTCGACTATCTAAATTTATAAGCTGTAGTACAGCACATGCCTTGGAGGATTCTCTTCTGACCTATCTGACAGAGCTGTCATCCTACAATGTTAGGGATGTCTGACCTGAACAGATTTATAGAATTGTCGGGTTGGTTTTGCTTCACCTCAATGCGGGAGTCGTTGCTTTTTTTTGTGTACTGCGTTTGTCGTGTACTGATCACCTTGTCTATGTATGAACCAACGTTATTCCTGTGGTACCACAACAGGTCATTATTTGAGCTCAAGTGGGCTTTCTTGGTACACAAGGCCGCCATTCCAACCTAACGTAACTAGTACACCTGCCACGACTTCTGATTGATTGATTTTGTTCTCCAATTGAGAATCGTCATGTTGTGATATGTTGTCATATTATAGATTACTTGTAAGTTTTAGATATGCCATCTCAAAACCTATGATTATGTTTAAATAAAATTATATAAATCATATAACATATGTCCCACAATCAAGCAAATAAAGACGTGGCAGCAATCGGAAAGGTACTAGCATTTGTATGTTATATTGAAAATGATATAATTTCATCAATTACTTAACGTTTTCATCATATATATATATATTCATATTGATACTTCTGGAGTGTGCAATTACAAAAATACGATAGCAAATTGGAGAATGAACACATCTCCTTTGGAGATGTGTTACAAATTAATGATAATGATGACCAAATTATATGAATTCTTCTTCGCATTACTCTATCATCTATCGTGTTCTCCATATATAACTTAACTAGTGACTAGTAATTGATTTTTGTAAAAACCTAAAAATATTTGGCTAGACATATGAAAATTATATAGTTTACTATAACACGTACTTCAAACACTACTACTCACCAGCTAGAAATTGCACAAAGCCAGGCTCTGAGAAGACTTTTGAAGGTACCATGGTACTTTAGGACGAATAACATCCTCAGCGACCTCAAAATTGATCCGATCAAAAAATACATAAAGGATAGAGCCTAAAAATTATTTACAAAAACTGACAGGCTTACCAACACTGCGTTATCGAATCTCAGAATGGCTACAGGCTCCTCGGGGAGGTATGCAGATCTGAGGTCAATTATTGCTTAGTCTGATGAAGTGATAAACAATAATCCAGTCGAGGCGCAAAGAGGGGTTTTGAAGAAACCTCGCAGTTAATAGAGAGTAAAAATGCTCAAGTGCACTGACTCAACTAGCCTCAACATAATAATATATTTTAAAGTTACAAAAAAAAACGACCTAAAGTCCGACAAATAAACAAATATAATTTATTTATTAAAAAAATGTAGAAATATTAAAAAGGCGTTTGAATGATGCTATTAGAGTTGAGGGAATTTATATTGATTATTAAGCGGCATATTATTCAAATTATAATTTATAATGTCTAAGATCTGTTGAGATATATTTTTAAATAATATTTACAAAATCTTTTAAGTTTCGCAATAAACACAAATCATTATCGCATATTACATTATAAATAATATCTTAAAACTCACTGACCTGTTCAATATTTTAAACTCAAAAGCCCAATTCCGTGAAAGAGTCATTACTAAAGTTCAGATTCAATGAAATTCACACCGAAATTTCAAAAAAAAGATACATATGTGAATAATGCGCGAAGGTGTAAATATGTAAATGTAAGTACATAGTTAGAGGTGTAAAATTTTTTGCAAACTTAAATATTAATATTTTTATTTGTTTATTATAATTTTTACCGTAATTACAAAGAGCATGTGATAAATTGTGAATACTGACTGCTGGCTCTTAAGATACAAGATTGTAATTTTATTCAAGACGAGCTTAACTTAAATCGTGCGTACATTGGAAACAAACTGTGAAATCAGATCAAAGCACTAACGCCTATTATAAACTACACAAAATAGGTTGATTAATTCTTTTATCTAATATATATATATATATATTCTGTAAACAAGTACTGAAATACACTATTTACTTATAATTATGCATTAAATTCATCTGTTTTTAGAAGGCGAAATAATTTAATATTTTTAACTTACACGTTTCGTTTTCAACTCTTTTGAATAATCTTTCATGTTCACAATTGTTTGTGTTAATTTTAAATTGTGCTCGTTTAACTTTTAAAGAGTTAAACGTGCTAATTTTTAACATAAACAAAATCAAAATGCTCTATTAACGAATGCAGATTCGTAAAACTTTGAGTTGTGAGTTATATTTACTTTTTTATTACTATTAAACACTTTTGAGTAATATATATCAGTAAGTTTGGTTTTTATTTTATTTATAAATTTGTGTAATCGAAAAAATAATTGTACTCTTTTGCTTTCCAATTAAAAAATAAATAATGAATAATAAACAGGGTGTAGTCTAACCAATAGGTATAAATTTAGAAGATGATTCCAAAAAACAAGGAAACAGTAATCGAGATAGAGATACACTTTAAAGAGTTAAAGTGAAATTGCGTTAGATAGCTTTATTCTTTTCGAAGTGTTTGCTAGTGTTTACTCACTCGGGACCAAAACTAACAAGTCTCAAGTAATCACAATAATTAAATTGAATGGATTACGCTTTGGAATTGTGTCCAAACTTTAGCACTTTCTAATCTTGGGCCCAGCGATTACTGGCCTTTTATAAACATTAAAAATATGTTTCAGGGAAATAAGTTTTGCTCAAATGAGAATTGATTACCGAAACTGAGTTTGAATCAAAGACAAATTGTTCTACAAGAAAATATCTTGTGATCAAAAAAGAACGAGAATTGAAAAGAACGATTGCGCTTATCCAATCGGTAAATTTTTTTTATTTTCGCGCTGGCAACACTATTATACGCATTCTGTCAAAGT